ACATGATATTTTAGCTCTAAGATTATTAGTGTTTTGAATTACATGGCATTCCAAGCTCTAAGACTATTAGTGTTTTGATTTACATGCAATACCAAGCTGTAACGTGACAAGATTTTCGAATTACATGACATTCCAAGCTCTAAGAGTACTAGTGTTTTGAATTACATGAAAGTTTGGGCACTAAAATTATTATTGTTTAAATTACATGAAATTCCAGGTTCTAAGATTACTAGTGTTTTGAATTACATGACATTCCAAGCACGATGAGTACTAGTGTTTTGAATTACATGACATTCCAATCTCTAAGATTATTAGTGTTTTGAATTGTATGACATTCCAAATTGTAAGGATATTAGTGTTTTGAATGACATGACATTCCAAGTTGTAAGGCCATTAGTGTTTTGAATGACATGACATTCCAAGTTGTAAGGCCATTAGTGTTTTGAATGACATGACATTCCAAGCTCTATCAGTACACCCCTTCTTCTTTATATTCTCTTCGATATTTGTAGAAATTTCACAGAAAGCATTTATAAACTTGTGTTACAGCAGGGCTCTTTGTTTATTTGAATCAAATGTATATTTTGTACAAAGTATACCGGTAGAGATATTCCGTTTTATCTGGATAAACTTTCATGTATACTTCTTACAATTTTACACATCCCAAGGATTATTGTACTTTATTTGTTTTGGAGACACATACGTATATATATATATACATATCCCGAAGTGCCACTAGTATACATATGTAGCTTTCTATTTCAAATAAGTTGGAATCATCATACAAGGTTGTTGTTTTTTTCACTTATGGCTATGAATATATAACTATACATTATTGAGTACGTAACGATTTTTTTTTCCTTATTGAAAATATATCGTTCATGGATAATTCCTTTGCTTGTCAATACATTGTCGTTGTTTCTAAACAAAAAAGGAACACAAAACAACAGAACGTATCTAAGAGAGGTTAAGCCTAGCTGTGAAGACAGAAACTAGTCAACACTTGACGTAAGGAGACATTCTGTTAATACAGGCACATCCAAAAGGTTGAGCCAACTATGTGAGAGGTTGTTCCTCCTGAAATGCACGCGACGTGAAGTCCCTGTAGCCATAACTAATGTCCCTCAAACAAGTAATATCGTGCTGTATATTTTCATTTAAGTAATCATTACAAGACATACTTTAATTTCTTTAAAGATTAAATCACTTATTTAATGTTTTTATTTTATCCACACCATGCTTCGTAAAAACGAATCTATAAACCTAAACACTAGAGCTGAGAACCGACAAAAAATGTATTTAAGTGGGCGAAGTTGGTATGTATAAGGGGAGTGTGATTAAATATTGTAAAAAA